TCACAAAATTGTAGTTATCAAGTCAGTATGGTTCTGGGCACAAAAACAGACATATTGATCAATGAAACAGAATAGCGAACCCAGAAGTGGACCCACAAACATATGGCCAACAAAATTTGACTAATCAGGAAAGAATATCCAATGCATAAAAGACAGTCTTCAGGAAATGTTGGGAAAACTGGACAGCATGGTGCAGAAAAATGAAACTGGGCCACTGTCTTACACTATACACAAAAATAAACTCAGAATGGATTATAGATCTAAATGTGAGACAGGAACCCATCAAAATCCTGGAGGAGAAAACAGGAAAAAACCTCTTTGACCTCGGCCACAGCAACTTCTTACTTGAAATGTCTCCAGAGGCATAGGAAATAAAAGCAAAAATGAACTATTGGGACCTCATCGAGAGAAAAAGCTTCTGCACGGTGAAGGAAACAATCAGCAAAACTAAAAGGCCACCAAAAGAATGGGAGAAGATATTTGCAAATGACATATCAGATAAAGGGTTAGTATCCAAAATCTATAAAGAACTTATCAAACTCAACACACACACACACACACACACACACACACACACACACACACAAATAATAAGTGAAGAAATGGGCAAAAGACATGAGTAGATACTTCTCCAAAGAAGACATCCAGATGGTTCACAGACACATGAAAAAAACGCTCAATATCACTCATCAGGGAAATGCAAATCAAAACCCCAATGACACACACCTGTCAGAATGGCTAACATTAACAAATCAAGCAGCAACAGATGTTGGCAAGGATGCAGAGAAAGAGGATCTCTTTTGCACTGCTGGTGGGAATGCAAACTGGTGCAGCCACTCTGGAAAACAGTATGGAGATTCCTCAAACAATTAAAAATAGAACTACCCACGGGGCACCTGGGTGGCTCAGTCGGTTGAGAGCCCGACTTTGGCTCAGGTCACGATCTCATGGTTCGTGGGTTCAAGCCCCACATTGGGCTCTGTGCTGACAGCTCAGAGCCTGGAGCCTGCTTCCAATTCTGTGTCTCCCTCTCTCTCTGCCGCTCCCCTGCTCATGCTCTGTCTCTCTCTCTATCTCAAAAATAAATAAACATTAAAAAAATAGAACTACCCTGCGACCCAACAATTTCACTATTTGGGATTTATCCAAAGGATACAAGTGTGCTGATTCAAAGGGGCACATGCACCCCAATTTTTATAGCAACACTATCAACAATAGCCAAAGTATGGAAAGAGCCCAAATTTCCATCGACTGATGAATGGATAAAGATATGGCATATATATATAATCGAATATTATTCAGCCATCAAAAAGAATGAAATCTTGCCATTTGCAACAACGTGGATAGAACTAAAATGTATTATGCTAAGTGAAATAAGCCAGTCAGAGAAAGACAAATGTGTGATTTCACTCATATGTGGAATTTAAGATACAAAACAGATGAACATAAGGGAAGGAAACAAAAATAAGATAATAACAGATAGGGAGGAAAGCTTAAAATTATCAAGAGAACCTTAAAACATTATCATAAGAAACTCTTAAATACAGAGAACAAACTGAGGGCTTGTTCTGGCAGAATGTTGGGTGGAGGGATGAGCTAAATGGGCAAGGGACATTAAGGAGGACCTTGTTGAGATGAGCACTGGGTGTTATATGTAAGTGATGAATCATTAAATTCTATACCTGAAATCATTATTACACTATATGTTAACTAACTTGGATTTAAATTAAATAAATAAATAAATAAATAAATAAATAAATAAATAAATGTATGTTTATCAAACTCAACACCCAAAAACAAATAATCAAGTTAAGAAATGGGCAGAAAACACGAATAGACATTTACCAAAGAAGATGAAAAGATTCTCATCATCACTAATCATCAGTGAAATACAAATCAAAACTACAGGTATGGAAATTAAGGAGTGCATTTATTATGAGCACCACGTGTTGTATGGAAGTACTGAATCACTATATTGTACACCTGAAACTAATATTACACTGTACATTAATTAACTCGAATTTAAATTTAAAAATTTTAGAAAGAAAAGAATTGAACTGCTTAACACACTAGTCACATTTCAAGAACTCAATAGCCACATATAGCTTGTGGCAACCATATTGGACAGCACAGATTAAAAAATTCCTTCATTATATAACGTTTTATTCTATAGTACTCTTCTTCAAGATTTGTGTGCCTCAAGTCGGGTACATAAGACCCATGTGAAATGAAAAGTCCACTGTTTTTACTCTTATTGACTACATCAGATTTCTTTCTGGGATATGAATACATATTAATGTCATGTAAAACAAAACCAAAGTTAGGTTATGTATGAGTTTGACACCTTCAGGCACAAATTGTTCCCAGTCACAAAGGAGAACCACCAGTCCCTCTATATCCCTTCCCAGACTGGGAACACTGATATCACATTTCCAGGGGTGGGGGGGGGGTGAGTTCTCCTTTAGATAAGCCCAGGGGCTAAGCTTTAAGCTCAGTTTTGGTATGCATGGAGTCTAGCTCAAGTAAATGGATTCTGTTAAGTGAAGAGGAGGCAAAGACAGGGACCAGCTGGGAGACTCTCCTTAGATGGTTCAGAACAGCAGTTCTCAAAAGTGTGGTCCGTGGAACCTTTGAAGTCAGTGACACCCTTTCATGGCATCCATTATGTTAAAACTATTCTCATAACATTACTTATATTATTTGCTTTTTCACTATGTTGACATTTTCACTGAGCCAAAATTTAGCAAGAAAGGAGGTTATAAGTCCAAATTGCAATAGTGCTTATTCTTTGCCCCCACTTCCTTATATTTGGAAAATAATTTTTTAAACTACACTCACTTTGAAGCATTATAGCTAGGGCACCTGGCTTAGTCATTTGAGCATCTGACTCTTGATTTCAGCTCAGGTCATAAACCCAGGTGGTGGTATTGAGCTCGGTGACAGGCTCCACGCTGGGCATGGAGACTGCTTAAGATTCTCTCTCTCTCTCTCTCTCTCTCACCCCCCTCCCTCTGTCCCTCACTCCAACTTGCACTCTCTCTCTAAAATAAATAAGCATTCTAGCTGAAGCATTAAAAATTATCTTTACTAAATTATCTTCAAATCCACATTTTAAAAATATATGAAAACATGGGATATACCCATAAATCATTTCTGTTACATTCCTAAATATCGTTTCTCAAGGAATGTCATGTGTATGAACCAAAATAGCCTCTTTTTGTATGGAATGCCATTTTTACTTGAAGTAATGAATGCCACAGAAACTTGGATTATTTAGACTTGTGTAGGTGGAAGTTTCTTAAAAATGAACATGAGCCTGTCCCTTCAAGAAAATTAACTGACAGATGACAGCTGACAGTTACTTGTTGCCTTGATAAAATGTCAGCTCTCTAGACAAAACCAGAATTTTGGAAAACTGTGTACCACCAATAAGGTGAACAGTTTCCCAGTACTGACAAACTTTTCTGTTGGGACCTATGGCAATATTAAGACCAATGTGATTTTTTTAATAATTTGACTCCAGTGTAATCAATACTGGAAGATCTATATAATTTAGTGAAACAAAGCCTTTCTTTTTTTTTTAATTTTTTTTAATGTTTATTTATTTTTGAGACAGAGAGAGACAGAGCATGAACGGGGGAGGGTCAGAGAGAGAGGGAGACACAGAATCGGAAGCAGGCTCCAGGTTCTGAGCCATCAGCCCAGAGCCTGACGCGGGGCTCGAACTCACGAACCGCGAGATCGTGACCTGAGCTGAAGTCGGACGCTCAACCGACTGAGCCACCCAGGCACCCCACAAAGCCTTTCTTTAAAAATCATGAATTAGGAGAGCCTGGGTGGTTCAGTCAGTTAAGCCTCTGGCTCAGGTCATGATCTCGAGAGTTGGAACCCCACATTGGGCACATCTGCCATCAGCACAAAGACCACTTCGGGTCCTGTCTCCCTCTCTCTGCTCCTCTGCTTCTCTCTGTCTCTGTCTCTCTCTGTCTCTCTCTCTCTCTCAAAAACAAACATTTAAAAAATAAGTAAATAAAATAAAAACATTTACATTGAAATAATAAAATAAATAAAAATCATGAATTACTACAAGATCCAGACAATGTGCAAGATAAGCCTATAGATTTGAATGTAACAGAATAAGAAATACTCACGGATACTGTTTCAGATTCCACTCTGCAAATAACCTTTGAGAAAGTATGACTTGTGTACTTTTATTATCAAACATGGATACCCACAGTTATCGGAAAAGGTATTAAAATACTACTCCTACATATTTGTGCAAGGCTGTATATTTCTTCGTATACTTCAACAAAAATAATAGATTAAATGCAGAAGCAAATACGAACATCCCGCAGTCTTCTAATGTGATAGACAAAAAAAAAAAAAAAAAAAAAAAAAAAAAAAAACTTGCAAAAATACAAAGATCCAATCTTTTCACTACCCTGTTTATTTTGAGATGTAGCTTTTTTTCATAAAAATAATTATTTACTTAACATGCAATGGCTTATTAATATCATTCAAAATGAGTTCATAAAAATTTTTTAAAACCTGTTTTATTCCTACTATGGTAAACACTGATAGATATAGCCCACATACACAAAATTATACTTACTAATTTGTAAGACAATTTGTAAGACTGTATAGATATCCTGAAAATAAAATGTCTGAGAATCACTGCCTCAGCAAGGAGACAATGTGACCAGAGCACTCCCATACTGGGGAAAAGGTGTCAGGACAAAGTCCCAAATCCCTAGGCCTGTCTCTCAGGGTCTCAGGCCCCAGGGCGGTGTCGGGGGCGGGGAAGCCCTATCCCCCCTGATTTCACTTCTCCCTGTCACAACCTGTGTCAGGTCCTTCTGCCGGGATACTCATGATTCGGCCCCAGTTCGCTCTCCCGTTGTGTGTAGGGTTTCTAGGGAAGCCAATCAGCGACACCATGGTTCTGGGTTATAGTGTAATCACTGGAAGGGCGGCGGCTTAGCTTCTCAGCAAAACATGAGATGTCAGTCTTGCGTCCCGGACCCCTCCTCCTGCTGCTGTCGGGGACCCTGGCCCTGAGACCAGGACGGATGAGTGCGGGGTCAGGAGAGAAAACGCCTCAGCGTGGGCGGAGGCAGGGGACCGCTAGACGGAAGGGCTGCTCCACCGCCTCGGAGCCAGAGCTCTCACCTCCGCCTCACCCACCCCTTGGTCCCGACTCTTCTCCAACCTGCCGCCCCTCTTCCGTCCCACAAGCCCCCTCGTCCGTGCCCTCCCGGCCGCCTCCCCGTAGGACCCGGGCCCCACGCCGAGAGGAGGGTCGGGAGGGGTCTCACCCCTCCGCGCCCACAGGCTCCCACTCCCTGAGGTATTTCCACACCGCGGTGTCCCGGCCGGGCCGCGGGGAGCCTGGGTACTTGGAAGTCGGCTACGTGGACGACACGCAGTTCGTGCGGTTCGACAGCGACACCCCGAGTTCGGTGATGGAGCCGCGGTTGCCGTGGGTGGACCAGGAGGGGCCGGAGTAGTGGGAGCAGCAGACGCAGAACTTCAGGACCCGCACACAAACTCTTCAAGTGAGGCTGAATGAATTGCGTGTCCACTACAGCCAGAGCAAGGCCGGTGAGCGACCTGGGCCCGGGTCCAGGTCACGACCCCCGTCCCTACGGACGCGCCAAGGTCGCCCCGAGTGTCTGGGTCCTAGTGCCACGCTGAGTCTGCGCCCCACCCCCGTCCTGCGAATAGGTAAGAGCCCCTGGGGACTGTACTCGGTTTGGTTTTCAGTTTAGGCTTTAATGATTGCAGGTCAGGGCGGGGCCAGTGTCTCACACCTTCCAAAGGATGATAGGCTGCGACGTGGGGCCTGATGGGCACTGCCTCCGCCGTTACCTTCGTGAGGCCCACGACCGCGCGGATTACATCACCCTGAACCAGGACCTACGCTCCTGGACCATGGCGGGACACCGCGCCGCACATCACCCGCTGCAAGTGGGAGGCAGCCGGTGAGGCGGAGCGCTACAGGTACTACCTGGAGGGCACGTGCATGGAGTGGTTCCTCAAGTATCTGGAGATGGGGAAGAAGACACTGCTGGAAGCAGATACAGGGACCACGAGGACTCCCTGATCTCCCATCCACTGCGGCTGGCTTTCCAGAGGAAGGGAAAATGGACTCAGTGTCAGAACAGCGCCCCTCCCACTGGTGGGAAGAGGGAGATCCGCCTCAGTGTATTCATATTCCTACTAGGGAGTGACTCCCTTAGAGGGCGATGAGGAACCCAGTCTCCTGGGTTGCAGATTGAGATCATCCCTGAAATTACCCACCAGCAGTTCCTTTGACCTGGGCAGCCACCTTGTGAACCATGATTTTTCTCTCAAGGCCTTGTTCTCCATCTGAGAACATCTTCGGGAGTCTGACTCTGTGTTTTCTGAGTTACTGACCCTCCACTGCAGTCACAAGACCATTAGAGTGTTCCCCATTTTAGACCTGCACACTCCTACCCTGGGCGCTCTCCCTGATTCTACATAATTCCACATCCTGAAGTCTAGGCTGGTCTCTGGCTCCTGTGCCTTTTCCTTCCAAACCAATTATCCTTTCCATTGTCGGGATGGTCATATGAAAGCAACCCAAAGTGTGATTTTCTGATTCTTCTTCCTCATAACCCCCAAAGACATATGACCCACCATCCCATGAGGTCTCCCTGAGGTGCTGGGCCCCGGGCTTCTATCCTGCGGAGATCACCCTGACTTGGCAGCGTGATGGGGAGGCCCACACCCAGGACACAGAGCTTGTGGAGACCAGACCTACAGAAGATGGGACCTTCAGAAGTGGGCAGTTGTGGTGGTACCTTCTAGAGAAGAGCAGAGGTACACATGCCATGTGCAGCACAAGGGGCTGCTCAAGCCCACCACCTTGAGATGGAATAAGGAGGGTTTGGGGCAGAGCCTCTTCTCACAGAAAGTAGCTCTTCTGTAGAACATCAGCGAGGTCATGACCCAAGCCTGAAGTCTGGGCCCTTCACCTTCCTTTCCCTTCCCATGAACCGCCTCCTCAGCCCACCATCCCCATCATGGGCATTGTTGCTGGCCAGGTTCTCCTTGTGGTCACTGTAGCTGTGGCAGTTGGAGCTGTGATGTGGAGAAAGAAGCATTCAGGTAGAGAAAGGAGTTGGGAGGAATCGGAGTTTTCTTATCCCACTGGGAGGTTTCAAACCCCAGACTAAAGTTTGTCCTGCTTTGTTAATGAGATGTGTTTCCTCACTGTGTAGCCAATTACTCTTTAGACTTGTGCAAATGAAGACGTTTTTCACCTTTATATTCTGACGTTGGGGACCTGATCCCCAGCAGTTGAAGGTCAAGGGAAATTCCCTGATGTAGACAGACCTCCAGGAAGACAGTTGGTCCAGTGCTCCTATATATCCTTTTTTCATGCTTACCAATACAGCTGTGACTCTTCAGTAAGAATTTTGGAAACTTTGATTTGGTACAGGACTAGGGTATTCCTCTGGATACCATGGTCCAGTCTTCTCCCTGGTCTCTGACATGTTTTCTTCCCACAGGTGGAAAAGGAGGGTGCTAGTCACAGGCAAAGAGTATGGAGGGAGTGATCCTTGAGACCTTGGGTAGTGTAGATGGGACCCCATGGGATAGCTAATCCACCTCATAGCTCCTCCTTTAATCTCCTATGGGTTCTGACCACATCGTGTTTGTTTTATGCCAAATAGTAACAGTGCCCAGAGCTCTGGTGTGTCTCTCAGAACTCCTAAAGGTGAGACCCCAGAGGGCCTGAAATGGGGAGGGGTTGGGGCAGAGAGGACATGAGTGGGTTACGAGGATTCTTTGAGTGGGACATTATAAGCAAGTGATGGGCTGTTGAGATATAAACACTTACATGATTGACCTGAATTTGTTCATTATTTTCTTTCACAGTGTGAGCCAGCTGCCTTGTAGGGGACTGAGTGATGCAAGATTTGCTCACACTTCCACCTTTTTGACATCAAGAGCCCTGGACATTTCTATCTGCTAAAAATGTCTGAATGTGTCTGTGTTCCTATTAGCATAATGTGAAGAGGTGGGAAAATTGTCCCACTGCTATCCATCAGTGGGGGACCTCTCCCCAAACTGATCTGCTTTTCTGTTCCAGCAGAGATGGGACTGGGCATCTCTACCCCTGTCTTTAATTTTTCCCCCCTATTCTTGTCATATGGGACCGATTTCCTATTCTTGCCCACCCTGGTGCACCCTGTATAAAACTCTCTGCTAATCTGCAGAACAGACCACCATGGCCACCCACTCCTGGAAGTCCTCCTCCCTCATAGTGGTGAGCTGCCCTTATTAGCATGAGCCAGGGTACTTAAGACCATGTCCATGGTCCATGAACAGGGCAAGCAGAAAAAGGATGTTTCTCTCCTTTAAGGGCAACATGTACTACCTCATTCTGCTTCACCATAATGCCAGAAAATAGTCACACAGACAAAAGTCACCTCATGGGAGGAAAGTGAATGAAATCTATTTTTAATCTGAGTGACCCTGTACTCCTCTGAAATTCTATCCCTATGGAATAAGGATCATTTCTGCTTTACTTAAAATTTTTTTTTAATCACAAATGACAGAATTGTCATTATCAGTATCTTAATATCAATAGCAAATCTTCAACCAGATTTGTATGCTAACAGTGGGGCAGTCTCAGAATATATTGGTAATTGAGAAATGATGCAGATGGTATATTTGGTAAAATACCACGTGCTAAAATGGAATCTCTCTCTATGTAACTGTGGAAACTGGTAACAACCGTTATGTCTAGGGAGAGAATTAGAATTATGGATGGCATGGAGGAGGAAATTTACTGCTCACTCTATATACTCTTTTATGTTACATAAAGTTTTCAAACGTTGTGCATGTATCAGTCAAATGAAATAAATTTTGAATTACCAAAGATAGTCCCACTTTTTTCAGAAATGTATTAGGCATATTAGGCAGTAGCTGTCTAGCAGTCTGGTAGGCCTCAGTGAGAGAAACATGAAGGAATTCACACTGGGGTGAATAACCTAGTAAATGCAACTAGTATAACAAGTTCTGGGGAAACAGAATCCAGACAGAAGCTTATTGAGTGCCTACTGTGGCCCAGGTGTTGTGCCACATGCTAGGGACATAAAGAAGATGTAGGTACATACCTTTGTGACCTAAATGTCTCCTGCTGATGAGCTTCTGTGGCAATACCTGACTTTCTAGGAACCCTCCTACCATGGCTTATCCCTGTGTAGGACAGAGCTGACATTTGGAAAGAGAATCTTTGCCCATTTGACCCAAAAATTAGTGGAAAGGTTTAGTTAGAGAATACTAATTTCCTAATGTAACTGACTCACCAATACAAGAGAAAATCACGAAGAAATAACCTGGATGAAGGGAAACAAATGAACAAAATAGAATCACAAGAAGTGACTTTGTGGGATCCCATATGAGGTAGGGTGGAAGAAATAGTGGGAGACGAGGATTTCTCTGGCAGCATAACACAGGAAAGGAAAAAAAAATGGTTCAGTTTAGTGATGGTGCTTTCCTAGAGTTTAGAAGGTCTGAAAAGTGAAGGGGGAAATGATTAGAGAGGACGACCTGCCAGGTGCAACAAAGTTGAGACAGGCCTTTCCAAATCACAGTGTGAATCTTGTATCTAGGACCTTGCTTTGATAACACAGCTCAGCTCTGCAGATCATCTTGTCCAACATGGAACCTGGAGTTATAATCTTGGTCAAAGATTGTGCAGTCTGGGCGCCTGGGTGGCTGAGTCAGTTGAGTGTCCGACTTCAGCTCAGGTCATGATCTCGCAGTCTGTGAGTTCGAGCCCCGCATCAGGCTCTGTGCTGACAGCTGAGAGCCTGGAGCCTGCTTCGGATTCTGTGTCTCCCTCTCTCTCTGCCCCTTCCCCGCTCATGCTCTGTCTCTCTCTGTCAAAAATAAATAAACATTAAAAAAAAAAAAAAAAAAGGTTGTGCAACCCGTGTATGAACACATCCAGTTCAGAGACTGTGCTACCCTCCATTTCTGTCATCTGTCACCTGGAACATCCCCATACAGATTATAATAAGGCCCAATGGTCTCCACCTCCTGGTCCACATGGCCTTGTGGAATCTCCTCCCAATTTGTGTGGGCAAGACCTGGAATCATCTTCTAACCAATAAGATGTGGCAGTGGTGATGCTGGATCTAAAAATTGGATCATGACTTCCAGCTTGCCAGATGACTCTCTACTGTCTTCTCAACTTGCAAACTTTGCTGAGGCAAGCAGCTATGTTGGAAAGACAGAAACTGAGGTCAGCATCCTGCCTACATCCAGCAAGACACTGAGGCCCCCAGCCCACCAGCCCACAAGGAATAACTCCGTTCTCCCCCTAAGGTAGCTCTTCCCTTTCTTGAAGACAGACATCCTTTCTCTTTACAACATGAACGTCAAGTTCTTTCCTCTCACACCATTGAGGAGGCCCCAGGAGGGAGCAGTAGGCAGGGTGGGAGGAAGTGCCATGAGCAGGGGTGAGGCTAGACTTTGCCTCACCTCTCACCTTGGAGAGCAGGTATTACCAGAGAGTCACTTAGAAACAGAGAAGTTAAGGGCAGCAGGGATTGGAAGGACATGAGTGATCATGCCAGTGTCTCTCAGAGGGCTGTACTTTCAAACAGGGCTGTACTTTCGATCTGTGAATAAAACAGTGATGGAGAAACTCTGCCCTCCGATGGCTGGTCTTCCCCCCTCAGCATTGTGGACAGCACACCTCACAGCTCAGATGCAGACACCACTGATTGCCTACAGCCTAGATGTAACCCTCCATTCCTGCCACCTCCAGCAAACACACTCCATCAGCTAATGTAGAACCAACTCTCCTGTCACTTCAAACCCCATGGACTTATCAGTAGGTACAGTGAAAAACACATACTCCCGATAAGACTCAGTGCTAGAGAAGAAGCTAGCAGAACCACAGAATAAGGCTGTTAAGGTGACCCTTAATGAGCCGGATGAACAGTGTGCAGAAGCCAAAAACAAAAAACAAAAAAACAAAAACAGCACTTGGGCTCAGCAGCCTGACCATTTTGTAGAATCATGGCTCAGCCAACTGAGTCACTCAACCTCTGAGTGCCCTCGCTTTCCTTGCCTATAAAATGGGGTTGATAACTTTCCCCATCTTGTAGGGCTATTAGGAGGTTTTAAATTATTCAATTCATGACATCCCTTAAAACAGTGTGTGACACTTTTATTAAGTACAACCCAGGAAGTAAGAGTCCCACCAATTTAGCTCCTGTTTTCTTCTTCCTACTATGACAAGTACCAGTTCTCCCCATCACTCATCACCCTGAGCCCCTCTCATGTGCTGCAGATGGAAAGCTGTTCTGCCACTTCTAACCCATAGGGTGGGGATAAGGCAACCATGAAATGGCCAGGGTGGACACAAGAGTGTGAAGAATTCTCAGAGTGTGGGGGATAAGCTTAGGACTCCCCCGGGCCTACACCAATGGGTTAACAAAGCACAAAGAAACACAAAGTCATAAAATGCTCACACCCAAGTTTGGGTAACCAGATTGGCACTCCAAGAATAGGGAGGCACAAAGGTGCCAAGAATAGGGAGGTGCAAAGGCACCCCAAAATAGGGAGGGGGTGCTGAACCCCCCAAAATAGAGGCAAGGCCTGAAATAGAATCAGCACAAAGGTGCCCAATACATAGGAATAACAAGATTAGATATTCAGGGTGAAAGCACCCCAAGTTTAGTACTACAGCAGAAAGCTGCTTTCATAGGAAAATAGGGCCAGGGCAGGTAAATTGGTGAACTGGACTTTGGACCACAGAGCTGCAGGCAAAGCAGCCCAGAGCAGAGATGGTTAACAAAAGAATAGGAGTCTTGTCAACCCTGAGGTTATTCCCCCTGTCTGTCTCATCCCCTAGGCTGGCAAAGATAAATAGGAATGGCACCTCCTGTCTGCTCTTAACAACCATCTACCCATCTGCCCGGCGCCTGGAATTTGTTTTATATTGACCCAAACCCCAAACACTGTATATCTTCAAAATCCCCTTTCCCTCCCTCACATCCACAAGTTAATGTTCCTAGTTTATTTTGTCTCTTTGTGCATGCCCATCACGTTTGCAAGCCTTCTGATCTGAATAAATACGGGGCAAGGACCCTTATTTGGGGCTCTTGTCTTTTTCCTGGACATTAGCCATCTCTCTTTTTAATTCTGTGTCTGCTCTTAAAGAGAACTTTAGACTTAGAGTCTACAACATCAGAGCAATGCTTAAACACACACAGGTACACATATACATACAAACACACGTACATGCTTGTATATGCTCACACACATCTATACAAACCTCCACACAAATACCCATACACATTTCAATGGGATTGTGAACCCACCCAAACACACACACACACACACACACACACACACACAC